GTTTAGAGATAAAAAAAAACTATACTTTTAGGGCATACTGTGAGCACTGATAAGTTATACAGGGAACGTGAAAGCTCGTGCAAAGTTTCACGATTACAACAGGAGATATGGCTCTAGTCGGAAGTCTCAGGAGTCAGTTGCCCCTTTGCCCTAGAACTCTTTAGGTTCAGTGGGTTTAGTGATCTTTAAGCTATCATATCAGTTAGGTTAATGAAACCGGGTAATCTAATAAGATTATTTAGATGTTTAATTAGGAGGATTTGTGAAGAAAATTGCCATCGAACTGACGACCTGAACAAGAGACAAATACGCATGATCCTGCAAAGAGAGAAACTTACGGAAATTTGGTGAAGGATAATTAGATATGAGCAAAGATAGAAAAAATGTGACAATGGCATTAACTTACGGTACAGGAAAATATTTTACTTTCGTGAGAGGCTGTTCGGTGAAAACGTATTGCTGTTCGGACACTAGACTTCATGGGAATGATGACACGAATCTTTGCCTTGCAAATTTGAGTAACTGGAGTTGCCATTTGAGCATAATATAGTATTTCTCGGTGTGGTCAGTTGTTGCGTCAACAAAACATAGAAAGATGAAAACCTTAATCAGATCGAATAGAGCGTTAAAGAAACATAATTAATGGGTAGTTCCGATGCTCCCCGGCTGCCCTCTTTGTTAGATTACTGGAAGCAAGTTCGCCGAAAGATCTGTGATTTTCAATAGAGGTCTCGTTTAAGATTTGCGTTGTATTGTCCAGAAAGCCCTCTAACTAGTCTGAATCTACGCATCTATTAAACTCAGCAATACTGACTAGACTTAAGATTATTTTGATCATGTTCAAAAGAACAGCAGTCCGCATTTCTTGTGCCACTCAATAACCATGGTCAATGGACATTATCGTGGATGGGCATACATTGATCTAGAAATATCTAAAACGTAAAAAGCGTACAAGCATCTCAGCACTGCCGTCCACTGTTCCTTGGAGTTTCCCAATAAGCATGGGTTTACCTAACCCCTCTGCAATTAACAAAAACATTGTTATACTGGCACACGGAGTTACACTGCCCATGCAAACCTGGCCTGACGCACAGGCGACGCG